GCGTCATGGCTGCGCAGCGCCGGGCAGGGTCCCCCCCCCCACACACGCGCCTTCGGTCGGGGCGCGCGGGGCCTGGAGGGTCGCTCTGCGGGGCGGGCTGGAGGGGGCCGCCGGCGGCCGGGTAGGCGCCCCTCCTCGGCTGCGGCGTCCGGGCCCCGCGTCTCTCCCCTTCCCACCCCCGGCCGGTCTCGGGCAGGCTTTGCGTCGAGCCGGGCAAGGGGACCCCCCGACTTGACTTGCCCGCGCCCGGGCGGACCCCGCGGCCTCGGCTCCTTACTTGCCAATTTCCTCGTAAAGCTGATACTCGTCGGTGAAGCGGGTGCAGGTCACGGTCGTGGCCATCGCGGCTGCAGCTTCACTCCGCAATGAGCCGCCCGGGCTCCGCTCCGGCTGGCGGCGGCGGCGGAGGAGGAGGAGGAGGGGGCAGAAGGGGCGGGGAGGAGGAGGAGGAAGGGGCGAGGCAAGCGCCGAGCAAACGGGGGTCCGCGGGAGAGCCGCTCCTGGCTGCGGGCGGCGGAGCGCGGCCCCTGCAGAGCGAGCGAGCGAGCGAGCGAGCAGCGATGCCGGCACTGGGCAGAGCCCGCGAGAGCTGCCAGGGGAGGGGCGACCGGCCTCCCGCGGACTAGCACCCTCGGCTCGCTTGCGGGCGGGCGCGTTCTCAACTTCGACGGGGCGGAGGGGGTCGCCTCGCCCACTCCTCTGCCAGGAGCGGCTGCCGCTTGCGCGGGGATCGGGCGCCCACCTGCGCCCCTTGGCTGCGTCCAGCACCAGCAAGACACACACACACACACACACACTCACACTCACACACACACACTCTCCTCCGGGCAGGGCTGGCTGATGACCCTGGCCTGCATTTGCACCAGACGTTCTGCTTCCCGGGGATGCGGGTGGTGGGCCCCTTATTCAGACGTGTGTTGGGGTCCCCAACTCCATAGAGTCTGAAGTCAGCGTTGCCCAGGTGAACTCGAGTCCGCCCTACAACTTTTCTCTCTCACCTGCAGCCCGGAGAATTCCTCCGAGCCAGGCGGGCCTTGGAGGAAATGACTCCTATTGTGGGGAATGCCAAGGGACTTGTATTCCGGTCTCTTCTGCCCAGAGCCTCTTCCGTCATCCACGGATGGACACCTGGGCCCAGTGGCTGCTCCCCTTCTGCCACTGCAGGACACCCTCAGGCCCAACCCAACCCAGGCTGATGACCTGCTGGCTTCTTCTCGCCTGCTTTGACAGCTGCTTCCAGATGCTGAGGCCAGCACTTTGCTAAGGAGGCTTCAGGTGCTTGGTCAGCATCTCCGAAGGGATGTCAGAGCTGCAAACTTAAGCCAGAGCTGGATTAGGGTGGGGTTTTCTTGCGGGGAAACTGAGGCCAGGTTGCCGAAGTGGTCCTCTGTGGCCATGATTCGTTTCGCTTACCGGTAGTCCTCGATTTACGACAGTTCGTTTAGTGACCACTCAAAGTTACAACAGCATGGAAAAGAGTGTCTTATAACCATTTTTCACAGTTCCATCCTCTGTAGCACCATAGCAGGATTCTCACCATGCCACCTATAGGGTTATAACTTTGACCATCCTCCCCATGATCCTGTAACTCAGAGGTCCCCAACCTTTTGGGCACCAGGGACCGGTTCTGTGGAGAAAGGTTTTTCCACGGACCGGAGAGTGCGTGGTTTTGTGTGCTGCCTGCATCCCACGGATGGAGCTTTGCTTGTTTGTGTGGACCGGTTGTTGGCATGCTGCAGCCCGGTACCGGTCCACGGACCAGGGGGTTGGGGATCCCTGCTTTAGCTCCTTGCCTATTGTGACCTGCCACAAAATAGCTTTTGCTTGATTTGAGGGAAGTTGTTTGGGGCTGGATTTTCAAATGAGGTAGCCCAGATCCTTCATCTGCAATGCTGTCTGGTGGCCCAGTCTCTGCTTACCCCTTTGCATTACAAGCATTCGTTTCGTGACCATTGGAAGTTAACAGTAGCACTGAAAATGTGATTTATGATCATTACTTATGCCAGGGATCCTCAAACTTGGCCACTTTAAGACTTGTGGACTTCAACTCCCAGTAGAGAGGC